AATTCCATGTTTGACCATAGATTGATATCAGTCAGAGAACCATTGAAAACCAGAAAGTAATAGACAGTTGTTTCGTACTGGTTCTGAACTCATCGACAGTATGCGCTCACCGAGTGTCGAACGCAGGAATTTTCAGTTACAAGTCAATCTCGTAGTCCATTCAGACAATAAGACCAGAATCAATCGCGCATGAGCTCTAAATTCTACCAATTCGTAACTAACCGCGACCAACCAGAAGGTCCTGGGGTTCGAACACTGCTAGGTGAATACTGCTGATGGATTCGAAACTGTAATGAAACAGCTGTCCAGTACTCTCAGTTGGTTTTTATTGATCCTCTAACTGATATCAACCGGTGTTCAAACTTGAAACAAATTCTTGAAAATTAATTACACCTGTTGGATTTTCGTCACAAACCCACAGCAGTTGGGAAGATCATCAACCCCCCCCCCTCCACAGGGAGCACTGCATACCTACTAGGTGCATTTCCTGAAGCTACAGTGGGAAGCCATGCGTGACCGAAGCGGTCCGCCATGTCAAGATAAAGTGGATGCTCACTGAAGGCATTGACGAGGGCAGTGCTGTATCACGAGTTGACATGGTTACCATTCAGAGGTGTTGAATCCCACTCCAAGTGGCTGAATAGTCTTCAGCGTGCTTGGTATCTCATATCACAACCTGAAGAACCCGGGTTGGATCCTTGGCGGATTCGTAGGTGCTGATGAAGAGTTCCGGAATAGGACGAAACAGCAGTCTAATGCTCCTTGGTTATTTAACTGATCTTTCTGACTGAATTAATGAATGAGCTATGCAGCATACACATATTCAGTTTTATTGGCTAATGGATAACCACAAAATTCATTGTATGTCACAGTGAAGACAGACTGTCCTTTGAAAAGACAAAGTGCGTAGTGAAGAAAGCTGTCAAAATATTGAACTATCATTCAAGGGTGTGGAGGAGTCTGGAGCAATATGATCGTACAGTTTGCAAATGGAAACATTGTACACAACTTTTGTTCATTATGATTCATTATAAAATATACATAACTTCGGAGTACAATCTAATATACAGTGGGCTGCTCGACGCTTCATCTTCTCACTGGTCTATACTGTCTACTCGCATCACTACCAACCGTGTTGTGTCTCCTTTACACTTTGCAAGAACCCCTCCTCCCCGTCTGAAGACTACTATTCTACAACCGGTGCACAGCTTCCACTAGTAGACAAGACTCCACCAATGAACGCTTCTCTCGATTATATTGAAAATTTGTAGCAGTAGACTTTAAATGTATCGCCAAGTAACCATGAGTTTCTTCTCCAACTCTTTAAGTGTGTAGAGTCAGAAGACAAGGGTCAGGCAATAGACCGTTTATTGAGAAAATCAAGAGATATTTATGGATTTTTACGCACATTATCATTATTAGCGTTATTGTTAGCAGAGAAGCAACTTCTTCTGATTGGTTGTTTTCTTGCTGAAGGTTATTCTGTCATCTCCTTATTGCCATTTCTTAGATAGTCCGATGATATATCTGCGAATCGTATCCGCCCACGCTAACTGTGCTGTGATTGGTTGTTGAGTTCCTCAAGGTAAGGCTTTGTTATTGTTTTATCTCATGATCCCAATTAGGGACGTAAACACTGACGTAAATTGGTGTTTACAATTTCGGCTAGTAGACAGCTCTCACCACAAGTGTATATTTTTTATAATATACTGGCTCCAATATTCTTTCATGAACTTGGATTTTTATTCTAATATTTGTACCGTTACCAAGCTGGCTATTAAGTCCCTACAAGTGTGACCGAATCATACTTCAATCACCTAGCAAACGTACATTCTAAGCCTCATTTTTTTCCATACAACTCGAACATTTTCAATTCCTGTACCTACGAATTAAGGATAGAATTCTGTGGACTCGCCTTCACACTGTAGCTACATGCTCACCTGCAGTTGCGGTGACACACACACACATCATACAGGTAGAACCAATAGAATGCTCCCATGTCGTCAGAAAGAAAGTGTTCCTAAATGGCTGTTTAATCATATAGAGTCCAAATGTACTTAATATATGGAAAGAAATCCAAAATCATCCCCATCGCATAGCAATTATTATTAGTATCTAGTCAAAAAATCAATATTAATGACTGCTCACTACACATTTTCCTAAGTTGTGTGCAACTGATGAAGGCGATGGACGAAACAACTGATGGCCTTATTCTAAATCTGCACAAACTACTGGTATCTGCTTCATTCAAATAAATAAAGGGGAATATGGATGCTTGAAACTATATAAACTATTGATTGATCGAGATGAATAGTGTTGTATACCATTCTCATCACACATCAACCAGTGGTACCTGCAAGCCAAGATCAAAGTGTTGTAAAACTTCACCTTGAACTGTATAAACTGCAAACTGATTTCCAAATTTCGAATCTGTTGTTACCAGTAAGCCAGGTAACAAGATACAAATCGGATGACTTGAATTGATTTGCTTCTGTCTCTCTCTCTCTCTAAGCTGACTAAGGCCTAGAGTGTATACACCGACGGTGAACTCGACCGCGAACGAGCAAAACGACCGCCCACCGACGCTTAGATCACTTTGAATCTGATTGGCTAGCAAACAACTATTAGTTGATGTGTACACACAACTACTCATCTCAGTCAATCAGTAGTATATATGTTGTTTCATGCAATTATACTTGCTTTATCGATTATCGTTCATACTATCAAGTAGATCACATAACTTGCAATCTGAACACGATCAGTTACCAAAGAGGAACTATGCTATGAAAACTGTGTTAAATTGTTAGACTTGAATTAGGAAGTGAATTTTATACATGCTTTGGTGTGTACAACTAACCTTGTCCACGTTTTCTTCACGTTTCTCGTGTTGTTTAATAAATTCACCCAATTTTTCAGCTAATTCTTGATTTTCTCTACGTAATTCTAAATTTTTCATCTGATATTCACACAATTGATTTTGAATGTTTGTTATACTAGTTTGAAAATGATCAGATACTTCACGACGTTTCTCATCTTCAGCACGTGCTCGTGATAAACTTTCTTCCTGGAAATTAGTAAGCATATATAAAGACGATGGATGACAGTGAACTGATAAGGTTAAACTTAGAATTATATATAAAGATATATATATATGATACTTTTGAGATATTTTACTGCAAACCAATCAAGGCGGTACGGATGATGAAGTTGTCAAAGGGCAGACAGAATCGGAAAGGCAAGATAGACATTCATTATTTCTGAAATCACTTTGCCAATCTTCTACACTCCCCGCACAGCATAAAGAACAGAATTCAGATTTTCAGATACACCAATATTAACAGGATTTTCATCATGAGCTGACATTAGTTAGAGAACCACTGAAAAACCTGGGAGTACTGGACAGCTGTTTCGTCCTAGTTTGGAACTCTTCACAGTACGCGCCCACCGGGATTCGAACCCAGGACCTTCTGGTTACAAGGCGAGCTCATGATGAAAATCCTGTAACCAATCAAATCCCTACAAACAAACACTTGAACACCAATGTTGAGTTAGTTCAGTTCTTCTATTTGGATTATAAACTTGACATGTGCAGCATAAACAGTAATTTTGCTAACAGGCCATTGAAGACTTTTATCAAAAAATAGGCCTTCTCTCTACATTGAAAATCAAATGGTTGGACACTCAGAAAGATGCGTAGAAACAAGAGACTGTAGGAACCAACTAACCAACTAATCAAGAACCAATTGCTCAACAAATATCCCGAAGAAAGTGGAGATGAATTGGTCGGACACACACCAAGGAGACTGTTGGATGCCTGAAATTGCGCGCAAGACCCTTGAGTGGAACCCGAATGGGGAATGAGGAGTTGGGCCTCTGAATATGATAAGGAGGAGATCTCCGGAGGAGATGAGAGCCGATGAGTGATCGTGTGGCAAACAAAAGAGGACCGCAGAGAAAAAAATGAAATAGAGATATGTTGGTAAAGTGCTATGTTTCACTCGGAACAAAAAAATAGTGCTTGAAGTTCCAGTGGTGATGGTGTTACCGGGTAAGGTTGCTAGCCTCATGCCCAACCATCCACATTTTTTGGATCTACTATCGACTACCCGACCGATAGTTGCTACCTTGACGTGGTGGCTGGGCTTGAACACCGCAATGACCCAACGGGCTACACTGGCTGGAACTTATGTTCCTGTAGGTCATACCATGCCAGAAAGGTTGTTTGGTTAGCGGTTAGACAAAAAGCAGCTACCCAATCCAATACTATGATTCAAACAAATTCACAAAATATCATGCCGGGTCGGTCGGGGCCCGGGATTAACAACGACCGCGCTTCCTGATGCCGTGTCACAGGGCAGAAGTGATAAATATGCTACTGAGACACACCAAACAAGAAAGAACAAACAAAAACAGGCCGCGTGTGACCGGCCTCAAGCAGTTGTCCCCTGGGCTCTGCGGTCACGCAACACTAACCTTTTCTCTATTTCAGGTACCCGAAGACTCAACCAACTTCCACGGTGTGGGCAGCCGGGAAGTAACAACCGCCCACACACTTCCAAAAGCACACGAAGCCTACCTGAGCATCACTCTCCCTTACTCACATCACCTTCCTCATCTTGCTTCTCTACTACAGTTAGCACTATTCTTCAGGCTAGTGAGTCATCTTCACTTCACTCTGCGACCACAAACAACGATGAGAGCCATAGAAACACCCCAGATAGCCTTTTAAAGCCACGTCGCCAACTTCATATAGGAGCTTTTAACGTCAGGACCCTCTGCCAAATCGGACAACAGGCATCACTAGCAAGAACTCTGAAATCTAGAGCCATGGATGTATGTTGTGTTTCGGAGACACGCATACAAGACCCGAGTGTGGTCATTCACTTGACCTCACCCGGTCAACAAGGTGAATCTGCAAAATTCACTTTAAGGGTGTCGGAAGACCCCTCAGCTAGCTCACGAGGACTCGCAGGTGTAGGGATAGCACTGAGTGTTAGGGCTGAAAAATCACTTCTTGACTGGATCCCAGTAGATAGTCGTATGTGTGCGGTCCGTCTGAACGGATCCGTTAAAAGAAGGAAAGACGGCGCTACCCGTCGTTGTCTTTTCGTAGTCTCCACTTACGCCCCAACAGACTGCAGTTCGGATGAATTAAAAGATGACTTCTACCTGAAACTGTCTAATTTGCTGCAAAAAGCAAAACATTCAGACATAGTTGTTTTAGCAGGCGACTTCAATGCCCAAGTAAGGAAGTTGTGCCAGACTGAGAAGTATGTAGGTGGTACGTATGGAGTTCCCTGCCGACGAACCGACAACGGTGATCGTCTTCTTCAGTTTTGCTCAGATAATCATCTGTTCCTAGTCAGCACTAACTTTAGGCACAAAGAGAGACATTGTGTAACCTGGCGACTTCCATCACCAAATCAACGCTGGACTCAGACAGACCACATAGCTATAGGGTATCATTGGCGAGGGTCAGTAGAAGACTGTCGCTCCTTCTGGAACACGTGCGTAGACTCTGATCACGCTCTGGTTCGCGCATGTTTATGCTTACGACTAAATGGACATAAGAAATTGACGGCAGCGAAACAGTTACGTCCCCAACTAGATCGAGACACTGAGTCCTTATTTAAGGAAGAAATAGCGAAACGAGTTTCTGAGGTCGACAGTAGGACTTCCCCCGAGGTAGCCTGGCACAACATACAGTTAACTGTAGACACAGCTGTGAAAGCTGTTAATAAGCTAAAACCTAAAGTTAGTAAAAGCCATTGGATCTCTACCGCCTCATCCGAACTGATTGACGCAAGAAGACTGATTCCAGCGAGCTCCGATTATGATGAGGAGCGAAAGGTACTTAAATGAAAATTAACAAAAAGTCTTCGCAATGACCGTGAACAGTGGTGGGTGACAAAAGCGAAAGAGATGGAAAAGGCATCGGCGATTGGCAACACCAGACAACTATTCAGGCTTATCAGGGAAACAGGTGGCAAAATACAAATGATAAGTAAAACAATTTGGGAGAAAAATGGCACCATAATTACCTCCCAGGATAGACGACTGCAACGCTGGAAAGAACACTATGAGGAGTAGTTTAATTGGCCTACAACCACACTTAACCTGCCGAACATCCAACACCTCCCTGAATGGGATAGACACAGGTCCGCCTTCCTTAACCGAGGTTACTAAAGCTGTCACTAATCTGAAGCAAGGCAAAGCAGTGGGACTTGATGGAATGACTCCAGAGGTATTTAAGTACGGTGGAGACAGTTTACTGCCTGCATTAACTGAGGTTCTAGGCAGCATCTGGGAATCAGAGGAAGTCCCATCGGGTTGGTGTAAGTCACTGATCATCCCGATATACAAGAAGGGAGACAAGTCTTTTTGTGATAATAACAGAGGTATTAGCTTGACTAATATAATATCTAAAGTCTTAGGCTCAATAATACTGCGTAGACTAAGTGATGCTTGGAAGGCACAAACACGAGATAACCAGGCAAGCTTTAGGCCAGGTAGAGGGTATATTGATCATATGTTCACCCTCCGACAGATTCTAGAACATAAGCATTCCTACCGACGTCCAACAATCATTATATTTCTTGACCTAAAGGCGGCATTCCATTCTGTCGACCGAGAGGTTCTCTGGCGATGCTTGGGTGTAAAAAAAATGCCGAGAAAATACATTGCACTGATTAAGGCACTCTACTCGTACTCACGCAGTCAGGTGAGGGCTTACGGTGAGTTGTCATCTGAAGTGGTGACGACTAGTGGCGTCCGTCAAGGATGCCCATTATCCTCATTTCTATTCAACTTCATTGTAGATGTACTAATGGACTTAACCCTAACTTACTTCAGATACTCAGGGATTGACTTGCTACCAGGGAATAATCTCGTTGACTTAGAATATGCAGACGATATAGTCCTTCTAGGCGAGGACGCTGACAAAATGCAGAGTCTTCTGGACACCTTGAGCAGCAAACTTCGTATGTTTGATATGCGATTCGCCCCGGTAAAATGTAAGATGATGATGCAGGATTGGACTACATGGACCCCTAGATTAGACATAGGAAGTGAAGTGGTAGAGCATTTGACCGCTTCACCTATTTGGAAAGCACCATCAGCCCCAACGAGTTGATCTCTGACGAAATCTCAGTACGAATACAGAGGGCTAGTTTCGCATATGCCAGTTTACGCCGTCTCTGGCGTAGACGTGATATCCGACTATCGACCAAAGGGTGTGTGTACTGCTCAGCAGTCCACTCTGTCCTCCTTTATGGCTCTGAGACCTGGCCATTGAGAGTGGGAGACATGAAAAGATAAGCTGTGTTCGATCATAGGTGTCTGCGTTCTATCTCCCGTGTGAAGTGGTATAATAAGGTGAGCAATACTGAGGTTAGGCGTCAAGTGAGTACTAGGTAAGGAGGGGAAATCAGTCGACGAAACTGTGAAATTACATCGACTGAGATGGTTAGGACATGTGCTACGTATACCTAGTCATCGCCTTCCTCGACAATGGGCAATGTTAGCTGACTGACAGGATCAGGTTGGAAAAAAGAAGGCTAGTGGTGGTCAAATCAAAACCTGGCACCAGTCAATGAAATCCACAACAGATAGTCTAAGCCAGCCACGTAGGAAGGTGTAGACTTCCTGACTGGTTGGGGTCCTCGGGACGGTAAAAACCAATGGTTGGAAACAATTGGTGACATGGCTCAAAATCGTTCTCAATGCATAGCGCAGATGCATCCACTCCTTGTGACTTATGATTTCCAATTAAACTGTTTTGTTCTCCGTTATTACTATACCTTTGTCTCACACCTCTGCTTACTGTCTCTAATATGCATTTCTCCTACTTTCTTCTCTTGCTTTGTGTGCTACATGGAGGGAGTGTGGCGACTTGAAGTGCCGCACATATGTGCAAAGTTCTATGTCGAAAACAGGCAGACAGACTATCGGCTAGCAAACTAAGTAATGTCGCCTAGTTAACTAGCCGGTGCCAAGCCCGGGTAAAGACGGAGAGTTGGGCGTGGGGTTAGCAACCCCACACTACTAGCCCTATCAAACCGCTAGAGATACTTCAACGCACAGAAAATATATTTAAAAAATAGAGCAAAGTGGAGATGTGTTGTTGAAGCCCTATGTTTCACTAGGAACCCAAGGGAACAATAATAATGATGACAAAGTAAACTAAGCGAGGTTTTGGGGAGCAGGCCTGGGGTCAAATCCACATCTGCGTGACTCACGAGCATACTACCGATGCAACTAACTTTGCATAAATCATCCAAATGATTACTGGTAAACTACAAATTTCTTTTTATTATTGTTAACCAACTGATAAAATTCCATTGATGATAATAAAATGTATTCAAATAACCACTTGTGATTCTATGCATTTGGCAATGAGCCACATCTACTGTGTGTGAGACCACCGAGTGATACTCGACCTATCTACGCAAACTCTAGTAGACAGTGGGGTGGCATTCAAACTCATGACCCGGGGGTTGAAAGTTGAGCACCTGGAACGACTAGCTACAACTCCACGATGACGAGGATAATAATAATGAGTGCCTTTAAATCTAAAACCTGCTGATTTTCTAAACTTTGACCTATCATTTAGATAAGTGCATAAAGGCGTTTGAATAAATCCCAGTGTTCTCAATGACGACCAAATAAAAATCCAACCCAAAGAATATCTATCACAGCCTACTAGAAAGATAATGGATAATGCTGTGTGGTTTTCAAGACGACCTAGATCTCTAGATCTTCCGCTTTCAATGACCATGTCTCATATCCATAAAGAAGAATGGAGCGAACTGCTGCACCATACACGTCTTTTGACTGATATACGCAGATATTGAAAATAATAAATGACACCCGTTGCATAAGAAGTGGAGGCTGTCGTGGCTCAAATAGTCAAGCGGACACCGCTCGGGTGTTTGAAACGATGAATATATGGGTTCAAGCCTCAGTGAAAAAGCCATCAACCCACTAAAGAAGAATGCAGGTACATTTAGTTGACGAGTCTCAAACAGATTAGAATGCCTATCCTGGATTCCACCGCTAGTCATCACCCACCAAATTACTTAAAGCTGATTCCCCTGACATCGTAGAAGCATCCACACTCAAGGAGCCGATGTGTAAACAAAGGATGAACACTTCGATCCAGTCAGTCGACTGGAAAGTTCAAAAATTGAATTGAATATTGTTTTGTATTTTTATTTCAGTTGAATACTACTCTATATTTCCTCATCTGTATTACAAAAGCGCATGAACCATCAAACTCCGTGTATTTGCTTTCATAATACACATTTTACGTAAATGTTGGAGAATGAAACATTCAATATATATATATATAGAGAGAGAGAGAGAGAGAGAGAGAGAGAAAGTTTAAACAAGATTGTTACTAATGGGATGGTGACTGAAGTTGGAACGAAAACCTAGGCGAGACAGTGAACAACTAAAACCAATAATATCTTAATTACCAGGCCAACATCTTACCACAGGGACAGTGTTTAGGCGACGTTAAAACTGATTGGAGAACGGAAAAAACTTATACGGATAGTTTACAATATAAATCTAATTTGATCCATGAATCCTATGAATAAATCCAGGGTATGGTAAACGCTGATCAATCAGATCGATAAGTGATTGAGACTTAGATCTAAAACCCAACAACAATAACAACCAGCAGGATACAAAGATAATCTACTGACAAATTAAAGGGAAAAGTGAAATGTGAGCATCTCTGAGGCCATCGATTGGAAAGATTTGCACTTAACAGGGGCACCTTTGCTTGTACAATGTTTCGATGGAAGAGTTAAATATATATAGTAAATCTAAAGCACTTGAATGACTCACAATCTCACCTGAATAACCTTATTTTGCTTCTGCAACTCACGGCATAAAGTTTCAAGTTTATCCTTTTGCAGTACTAAACGATTTCGTTCATTCTGAAGTTGATCCTTTTCGATACGCAACTGAAATTGTAGGAGAAAAAAGAATGGAGCATCTTAAAGAGTGGAAAAAACAATCAGAACAAAAGTTGAGTTGAGATAATCAATATTTCCTGCATTATATACATATTTTCGAAAAGCTAACAATCATTTCACCACGAAATGTATATTGTCTTCCGAACAGCGGCACCTTCAAAGCTAAAATTATTAGAACAAATAGCAAGAGCTTGGAGTTTTGCATTTTTTAGTAATCCGAGGTTTCAAAAGACAAAATTGAGCTTAGGTGCACAATCATTTTATAGGATTCTTTTACCTCGTAACAAATGGCAAGGCGAGGAAATCCATCCTAAATTTCTCTATATATAACTTTTTCAACATCATATGTACGTTCAGTATGTCATCGAAAGTCACTCACAATTTAACCAGTTATTACCAAACAGCTAACATTTCCTGCCATTCCTAGGTCACCTTGAGCAGCAGCAATCTTCGAATGTTTGGCATGCGATTCGCTGCTGCTGTCTAATGTAAGGTGATACTACAGGACTGGACTACATCGACTCACTCCTAGCTCAAAGATAGGGAGTGAAGTGATTGGTGGAGCATGTCGACCATTTCACCAGCCAACGCCCGCAGGTCGATCGCTGACAAAATCTCAGCACAGATGGGAAGGTTCGTTTGGCATACGCTAACTTACATCATCTCTGGCTTAGCAAATGTACTAATGGAGTGTGGTGACTCGAACTGCTGCACATGTGTGCGAAGTCCTAAGATTGAAGCCAGCCAAGCAGTACTCTTTATTTCAACAGATATTATTTTTAATTAAAGATGTATTTCAATAACTTTCTTAGCGTGATGTTGCTATTCACAAGCGTAACATCTCGTAATAGATATATGGAGATGTTAAACAACATTATTCGCGCCCAAACTGATGAGTACAGTGAGACTTTATGTGCATAATTTTCCTTCGCATTTTGTAGAAACTGGAGGTTGGAGGCGACCAAGAATTCACAGCACATCGTGCTGGCGAACCACCTAGAGTGGTGGCCACATTGCAAACTTCACTGATAAAATTCAGTCTTCACCAATCATAGGACTAGACATATTACACTAATCACTAACTAGTGTCCAATTAAAGTATCCAAGGCTTACATACAGTGGACCAGTTTTTCCCAGGATAATGAGAGTAAGATTCACCTCCAAAGCAAGGAAAGTCACAATTATCCAGTTACGCTCGGAAAAAGAGAAGGAAGATTTCGATAGATAACTTCAAACATCGAAATCCCTATGGGCGATATGAATGTTAGACTGGAAGCAGAAAATAATGGAAAATGGCCCAATATGGGTCGAGAGACTCGGAGAAATAAATGAGAACGTAGAACGTTTCGCAGTGCACTCAATTATTTGGTGATTGTAGGCGGAAAATACAAGCTACAGGACTTACATAAAGCGACATGGCTTTCACTTAGTGGACAAACCAAAAACCAGATAGACTTTACCCCAATTTCAAGAAAGTGGAGACGCAGTCTGCTAAACACAAAGTCGAGAAGGGGAGCAGATGCAGACTCAAACTATTATATAGTTCAAGAAACCTCCAAAGTCAAGCCAAAATCCTTCAGAACCGGATCTGGACTAACCATCTCATGCCCCAAGATTTCTTTATTGAAAGTTCAATTAACTTACCCTACTTCTGTGAACACAATAAAAATGTAGACCAAGTAAAAGATAATGTCTTTTGGTAAGAATGCAAAGTATCAATACCAGCCAGTAAAAAGAATTGTCATAAACGCAGTGTGCACACGTGGACCGTAGCTCCTTCGGAATAGAATTAACAAAAGAAATGCAGTTAAGAATATTGATTCTAAATGGAGCATTACAGATCAGACAAACAAGTCAACGCTCCCCATGGACTTGTCTCAGTTATTTGGACAGAAAGCGTTTTAAATGTACTTGTGCGTTCACCCCAACTTACTTGCTGTAAATTTTGTTCGAAGTGTTTGCTTTTAAGCGTGTTTTCTTTTTGTTCTTGATAGAGATCGTAAAATTTTTGACAAATAAACTCAAACTTTACATCACTTGAGGTATTTTGAGGAAGTTCTTTCAGAGCAGAATCTAGAGGCTAATATGAGTTGTTACCAAGATCTATATACCTATGAACTTTGCCTTTTTCTTTTTCTGTTTGCTATTGTGTTGTGCTTCCGTATCTTGTGAAGTTACAACTTTGTCGGAATCGATCATCTATGGAAACTTATTAGTAACGCAACTGAAGTATTTCCCGCCTCCAAAATCCAATATCATTCTCTGATATACCTCTGTGGACATTGTAAATTTTTTGTTTGACACCTAAAAATTCGACTGAAGGAGGTTAAGTGTACTCACTGAATATACTGTTGAGTAATTCAGTCCTATATTTTAAGACTTACCTCCTGACACAATGAACGCAGTTGATGTTAAAGAACTCATGAAATTTGAAAAATGAAATGTTGATGGGATTGAAAGTTTTTTAAGATTACTGAAATTAGTGATACTAAGTGAAATAGAAAGGAATATTATCCCTGAAGACGCATTTAAGATCCAGAATAGAAATTTGAGAGTAATGTTTGGAAGGCCTTCGGAGAATAGAACTGGAAGGAGGTAAGCCATAACGGAATAAAAGTTCAAATTAGACAGAAGGAATGCAATATCCAACATCGATTTTACCAGCTAGGATAAAACAACTTGATTTCCTTCTGATTATAAGGTTAAGGTTCCTGATCTGCACAACTCGTCCCCACTCGACCGTCGTAGGTTTGGTTGGCTCCAAAAGTAGTGAAGCTGAGATTAATTATATGTGGTTTGTAGTGTGAGGTGTGTTGAGACCATTAGTGAAGTTATTCAGGCTAACAGACAGAAAAAGAAACAAAGAAAACGTATATACCCCTGAATGGTGCATGGGATTTTAAGGGGATAGACTATTCGGACGCAGTCCTTGTGTCGTTGCATGATTGTCCAGCCTTAGTTTAAAGTTGTCCACGAGCGGTGCCGTAACTACATCTGCCGGTAAGGAGTTCCGGGGATGGCAAACCCGCAGTGAAAAGAAGTGGAAGCCCACCAGAGTCTTTGCTCTTTGGTGAGCTTTCCTTCTGGGATTTCCACGAGGAAGCCTATAACTACTCAATGGAAGAACACCTTTGCTTGGGTGATTCTGGTAATTTGTAAGCAGTAATCAAATCCCCCCTAAGACAACAGTGAAAAGACCTAATTTCTTTGGTCGTCTATCATAAGCTTTGTTTCAGCGACCCATCACTCCTATTGTCGCCCGTTTTCGGACAATTTCCAGGAGGTTTGCGTTTCTCCTAAGCAGTGGAGGTGCAATGATATTATGCACTCCAAGGTGTGACCTGACGTATGTTTTTCGTGCAACCTTAAAAAGAGCTCAAGAGTGAGTACACCTAACTGTTTCTATGTAAGGTGTATGACCGCATATGCCCTCACTACGTCAGCAGTGTAATTTCCGCTTGTGTCCACTTTTTCCGTTAGATCTAGACCTAAATCAAGCTGTGATGTTGTGCAGGACAAGCTTTCATTGCACAGGGTCTAGCTTTCATTCTTTAGCCTACAGGTGAGTAATTTCACTACCTTGCACTTTTTCAAGTTTAAAGTCATACCACTGGCCACCGGTCAGTCTTCCAGAGGCTTTAGGTCTGCTTGCAACCTATCTGGGTCTTCTAAACACTTTATAGTTCTCCAAATCTTCCCGTCGTCAGCGTATAGAAGAGTTAGGCAGCTTAGACGGCATAGTAGATCATTGATAGAAATCAAAAATATCAGTGGTCTTAGGATAGAACCCTGCGACACTCCTGATGACGAGCTGTGGCAAGATGATCGGACTCGGTTGACCTTAGTGCGAAATTGCCTTTCTGCTGGGTAGTCCTTTAACCATGACAGAAGTGGCTTACCTACACCTGCCTGACTTATTTTGCGTAGGAGATAGTAATAGTGAACGGTGTCAAATGCCTTCTAAAAGTCTAGTAAGACCATATGGACTGGAACACTCACATCCCAGCATGATGTCCAAAGGTCTCAAGCTGATATTAGGTTTTGTACACAGGATCTGCTCTTCCTGAAACAGTGTCGGGCTCCATGGGGTATATTAGACCTATTGAGGCAATCCCTGATGTGATGGCCAATAATACTTTCCAGTACTTTTGATACCACTGATTGTAGAGCTACTGCTCTATAACTAATGGCATTTTGCCTATCCTCACTCTAGAAGATCGGAGAAAGGATGGCCTTTTTCCACTCACTTGACAGTTTCCCCGAATCCATCGGGTGTTGGAACAAGTCGCATGACGGCCTACAGAGAACTTTGGCGCATTGTTTCAGAACAGATGGCCTGATGTCGTCACAACCGGGGACTTCCCAGGTGTGAGTCTCTGTAGCTTCCTTGGTACTACTGCCGAGTTTATCTGTGGAGTAGCCGCTAGGTCTTCCTCACGAAACGCATATTAGGTTATGATCAACAAATAGAATACCTTGACAGATGTATTCAACTGGACTTAGAACCCGTATGGTTAAGGAGAGTGAAGTTCAACTTATTTCTCTTATTCTAAGTTATAAGAAAGCCCTGTAACAGTAACTCATGCATAACGCGGGCTAATCTTAAATCGTATGAACTACGCAACCATGACTACCTTCTCAAGGTTAACACCCACAAACTCACCACTAGAGCTAACTTTTTCACCATTAAATATTGTAAAATTTGGAACCAGTTACCCTCTGAGATTAGATCCTGTGAAAAGCCTGACAGTTTCAAAAGGAGCATATAAAAACATATTAACATGTCCACCCTAGACCGTCTAAAAGATCGCAACTGCTGGTAGAGTGGTGAACCAATGACATTTCAATATTTAACTAGGAAAGTACACTGGTCCCAATACTAATGTAATAATACTTAGTAATTATGCATGATCAATTCTTGAAATTAGATTGTCATTACAATGCTTAAAATGATTAAAATATTTGTGCAGCTAATGTTCTCTTGCTTTACCACGCTTGTTTCCCTATAACACTCAATTATTGAGCTTAATGTGATAATGCGAATTATATTATTGGTTATACTCTTATCATATATAGTTTGATTTACTTTACCTGTAAGACTAAATACCCTTCTTCAGTATACACACACTGCAGCATTATTAACCAAATATTAAAATTTTGTTGGTTCTGTTAATATCTTTTTATAATATGTGTAGACAGGTTGCTTTGCAATGTCAAATGTTTACTGTATATAAGACTGTCGTGATAACTTAGCACAATAAGTCCTGCCAACCGACTATGCCTTCAGTGCATACTGCCTACATTGAACCCTAACTACAGTGTTCTGCTGAATCTTGCTCCACTATTCACAAAACATATTCTTTTTACTCTTTAAGGTTTTAACTTTTTATAAACTAATCTATTCATTAGGGTGCATGCACATACATATAATATGTTCATAAAGATGTGCGTGGAGACCTATTGGAAGCACTCACTAAGAAGGCTAGGCAAATGGAATATGAGGTGCGAACGTGTCTGGCACCAAGCAATACATTTGCTGTAGTCATAACAATCATAGTCTCAGAGCCTAACATCATAAAAGGAGGGAGGGTGGCGCATGCTGATCAGTAGATATGGTGGTGGTCACTAATGTGAATCGACCCATTCTGCAGGAACAGCAATATGCAATTTGACTGCTCGAGATTTTTATGAGGGCTTAGATCGTTATCTTGAAAAAGATAATAATGGTCGCTTAGATAGATGATGCTTCTGCCTTTAAACATATACCACTCGCTCAGCCTACTGTTGAGATGCGACCACGTGGGCTGTGCACAGATTTATGGGGCATCTTATAAATTAACATACTTTCCTTTGGCGGATCTTTGAATACCACTTCACAATGTCTCATCTCATTCATTTTTTAAATAACGCCTTTACTTGCTCCTTATTATATTCCATTAGACCTAACATTTCCTAGCTCTTTATGAATTCGATTCGACTTATTCTATTCCTATTCTCTATAGGGTACGGTTGTGCACTAAATACACAAAAAGGTATGAAAAAAACAACTGGATTGAGGATAATTGTATTAAAACCAAAAGTGAACATCATGACAGTAAGACCTATATGGGTAGCGTTATACATTGCAAATGAACTTTGTCAGCCCAGGGATTATAGTTTCCCATTGTATGTCCTTCACGAACGCATTTATTAATGATATATTGCACTTGCCTATTTCATTACACTTTACTGATTCACCTTAGCACTTTTACTTCTCTAAAACAGCTTTCAATCCGATGTAAATGTAGTACTTACCTCAATATTGGTTGGTTATCGTATGCCTACAACCACGGGTCGAAAACTAAAAGAAGTCGATTTTCCCGCACAACCTGGAGGACTACTGCACAATTCAATAATTATACGGCCTAGTTTAGACAATCAGTGTATTTATGTGTATATCAAATATTTAGCTGTTGAAACATTATTAACTTGTAGACAATCTACTATTTGAGATTATGTCATACTTGATCGTGCCTGTAAAAATGGCATGCATTTTCATGTAAATTTATGTTTATACGAAAGTATACATTATTATTATTAAATAGTAGTGTCGCTATTTCGTTCCATACCGGTGAAACCTAAATTGCTGTTTAGCTGTTTGGAGAAGGCTAAACTGAATGTCTCCGCCATCTCCAGACTACTGTGATATTGACCATTTGGGCCTACTAATGCGAATGTCCCCTGGTTGGTTGGTTTTCTTTACGACATGAATCAATACCAGTTTTAGGGGTTTGTCAGGAGCTTTTGGCTAGGTTAGCCTGGAATGGCCTCCTGTCACTCCTGACTCTCGCACTGCACGGGTTCCTGAGTTCCAGGTGTGCATCGTGGTCGATCTGACTCTTGGATACGCGCCACGTAAATCAAGCCCTTCACTTTGCTTTCAGATTACGTTGCGTACCTCTCTTCAGCCACGATACCTGTTTTGGCTGTTATGACCAAAGGGACGGTAGCTGAGATTGCTCTGTGAATAATGCCTTTTACCACTTCCTAGTGTCCATCCACGGATAGCCCATCCCATGCAAAGGGCCATTCTAAGTCCGAAAAAAGCCTCAGCATTTCAGCATAGTCAGCTTTGCTATAGCACAGACAGTCACGTGACGTCCCACTGCAAGTGCTCACGGAGAACCAGATCGAAACCTATGACTGCATGGTCACCAATTCCTAGAGTAGTCGTG